TAGCAGATTGCAGTGGAATGGCTGCATGATTGTTGTCATCTGGTGTTGCCACGTGCGTAGCTTAGATCTGTGCAGGTTTGCGACGTGTGCAGGTTTGTAATGGCTGCGTCAAGGTTGCTTGGCACCGTGGCTGCATGCGTAATACTATTGTCTTTGCATCTGGATCTCGTAAATAGTATTGGAGTGGCTGCATCAAGGCTGCGACAGTGATTTGTCAGCAGATTTTCTCAATGTTGGCGCTAGTAATTTTCCTTTTAAAAGCTCCTTGAAAAAGTGCTTCAAAATCGTCTTTTTTTTTTCCGCTGTGGCGTCGAGATCCGGTTTTGGAGCTGCAATTGCCGACGCCGTTGCGTGTAGTTCTATTTTGCTTTGCAACTCAGTCTCTGCAGATCGCATTGTAGTGGCTGCGTCAAGGTTGCTTGGTGCCGCGGCTGCATGCGTAATACTATTGTCTTTTGCAGCTGGATCTCATAAATAGTATTGGAGTATCCTTGGAACTCCAAACCACCAAGATTTGGGTGGGCACCACGATTTGAGGTGGGCAGCCTCAAATCTTGGTGGGCTACCAGCCTCATTTTGAGGCTGGCAGCCCAAATTTGAGGTGGGTACCAGCTAAGTTTTGTGGCTGGTAGTTTTTGAAAAAGGGCTGCCAGCCTAAATTTGATGTGGGTTTGGTTTTTTACAACATGTTCAAAACCAGCTACAAAACTTGGTGGGTTACCAGCCTAGATTTGTGGTGGGTACCAGCTAAGTTTTTGGGCTGGTAGAGTTTGGTGGTTTCAGCAGCTGCAGCAATTTTTAACTTGTGCTGGAAATAGTAAGTGTGAAAAGGATGTGAGGTGAAACATACAAGGCCTGCTCCAGGCCAGCCCGGCACAGGCAACAACAAGAAAGCAACCTTTCCAGGCTAGCCTTGGCAGGCAAAAATAAAAACTCTTTTAGGCTAGCCCACTCTGGATACACTGGGAAATGTTGTTTGTTGCTGCCACCTTTCAAGCATGGGTGCACAATGGGTTCCAGGAATTTCTTCTCCACTTCTTCCTTTGTACAGCTGCAAGCAGACGACCTGTCTTGTCCCAGGCCTTTGCAGGCCAGCAGCTTCTGGGCTGCAACACCAGGCTTTGGTAGGTCAGCACACCAGCAATTCACTCAAGCATTTCCTTTTGCACTGACAATTCTTTCCTCCGCCCCTGTAGCTTGGAGTGAATCTTTTCGCTGAGCAGCTGCAGCTTCCCTGTTTGCTCTTCAGCTTCATCTTCTCGCATTTCCTTCAGGAAGGCGCGAGGCTCTGCCAGAAATTCAGCCTTCTCTGCTTCCATCCTGGCTTTCAAATCCTTGAGCTGCTTCAAGGCAATGGCCTTGAGCTCATTCCCACCTGGTAAGCCATCAGCCTTTGCTGCAAGCACATCCACAGTATGAAG